CCTTCCTTCCTTCCTTCCGTACATTCAGGCCGTGAAAGGACTCAGGAGCAGAATTATTCCAGTGACTGGTAGCAAGTATCCAGCGTTTCGTTCACCTCTAATGTTGCAAGAAAATGAATTATTTCCCTACAGTTGATACACACACAGAGATGACTGTCTGGGCACAGCCGAGGGGGCAATGCRCGACCGTGGTGCTGCGGGAGCGGCTGCGGCCGCGTGCGGGTGGGGTGTGATTCCCTAATGGCTGGGAGATCCATGAGAAAAACAATAAAATTGTCCAGTTTGGCAAGTTCTTGGTGAATAGGTCGCACTGACCCTGCTGTGGGCACTGGAGAGCTGCGCACCGTGGCYGGCAGGGAGGAGGGAGGTCAGGCTGGGACTGCCAGGGAGTGTGTGAGCAGCTTGAGTTTGGTTTTAAACTCTCCTGCTGGAGCAGAGCTCGCCTAAGTGGAGGCAGTTTTGAAGCAGCTGGTCCATGATGATGTGTCACTTGATTGAAAACTTATTTAACCTTCTGACAGAAGTGACAGATTCCCACAGGGTCCCCAGGGGTGACCTGGGGCTGGCGGGGCTCTCGTTTACTCCACTCTCAGCAGAAGGGGAACATTCTGGTRTGTGGTGTGTGAGTCTCAACAGCCTCGCCCTGGGTCTGCTGCCCAAAGCCAGAGCATGGCTGCTCACAGCCTCATCCTTCCTGAGAATAATGGGCAGGCCACTGGGAAACCTGGCACAGAAATCCTCCCTGGAGCTCCACAAACRGCCTCAGCAAGGGCTGTCTATCCCTCGGCACAGGGCTGCAGGCGCGCTCTTCACAGAATCACAGAATGCTTTGGGTTGAAAGGAAACTTAAAGCYCATCTCGTTCCAACCCCCTGCCATGGACARGGACACMTTCCACTRTCCCAGKYTGCTCCAAACCCCGTCCAACCTGGCMYWGGGCACCTCCAGGKAATGGSRCAGCCACAGCTCCYCCGGGCAACCTGTGCCAGGGCCTCCCATCCTCACAGGGAGGATTTTCAACTCCCTCACCCTTACTTGCTACTGTTGCAAARGGGGTTGTTCGAGAAGGCTGATTCAGATGCTAATTAGGCCTCTTAATTGCYATACTTGCTGATTGCATGTGTTAAAAACAGTCAAAGGAGAGTTGCACCCCCATCTTAGGGCAATATTTAAAAACAAAGCAGTGAAAGGGCTGGCGGTGCTAAACACGGGATAGAATGCAGTGGAGGAGCTCGATAGGAAAGGGATCTGCGGTGACCATCTCGAACTACCCGAACGATTGTTTTTGATCGGGGCTGACCAAAAGTTAAACCATGGCCCTAAGGGCACTACCCGAATGCCTCTTGAACCCTGTCAGGCGTGGGGCACCGAGCCCTCTCCAGGTGTGAGCACCCTCGGGGCACAGAAAGGCTGCGGTGCAGAGACGGAGCCGCAGTGCCGGGGCCGTTTGTTTGTGTTTATGGAGGCAGAGCGGGCAGTGATTGAAGGTGTTTACTGCCACGTGTAATATCTTCCCTTTGTACCGATGTCTTTCCCCTGGAAGAGAAAATCAATACCCAGGCTAAATCTGGAGGCTTCAATATTTCTCAGAGAAGTGCAAATCAATATGGATTTCTTAACAAGTTTAATTTCAATACCTGAAAGTGCACATGCTGCCTATTTCCTGACCTTTCCAATCCCCGGGGGAGGAGGATTAAAAAGATTTGTTCAAATTCAACGAATTGAATCAGCAAATGCCCCATTACCTYGTTTTCTTTCTGCCAGACCTTGATAAACAGTATGATAGCCCATTGTCCACGCGTGGCTGCCAGCGCCGTTCGGACGCCAGCCACGCCGACCCGCCGGGCACAGGTCCCCGTGGCAGTGCCCGTAGCCACCTCCATCGTGGGCAGGACAGCCCAGGGTGGTGACAAAGGGGCCAGGTGTCCTGTGCAGATGCACCCGCTCCCCTTCTCCGAGTGCCAGCGGACCCACATCCCACCAGCCAGCCCGATGCTCCCCTTGCTCCCGAGCAGGCTGATTGATGGTGCTGCAGTGCTCTATATTTATCCTACAATGGCTTTGTGCAGCGTTAGATCATCGTGGGAGCACTGTAAACACTGCAAAACGAGCGTGTGGGCTTGACTGGGCAGAGCAGAAGACTTTGAGAGATCCCGTCTGTGCCCTTGGAATGATCCCACGGACAGGAGCAGCAAAGACCATCCATCCCGACCGACAGCACGGGAAAGGTGTAGTGTCAGTGTCAGGTACACTCAGGGTCACTCACAGCTCGCTGCAGGTGGAACCGGACCGGGCACAGTGGGGATGAAGGGTCCCTGAGCGGGGCTGGTCCAGCCCTGCAGACACGGAGGGACCTGGCCACAGCTGGGGGATCTGGAGATGGCTGCAGTCACGGCTGGGGCGCTGGTTTGCCGGTCCCCGCGGGCTGACGCTCCCGTTTGCCTCCCAAGGGAGGGATTTAATTGCTGTGTTGGTGCTGTGATGACAAACCTGGCGGCGAAGCGCTGTCAGCCTGCGGGAGCTGGTGCTGGCACGGAGCCTGCAGAGGGGAAATGGCAGCTGGGTCCTGGCTGCTGCACAGAGCTTTGCTTTTCACCCTTTTTTCCCCAAATTCCACATCTACATCAAGACAAACGCACTGCCCTCTCTGCAGTTTGCTGCAAGGCAAGCTCACTAGTCCCTATTCCTGCAGGCTGTTCCTTTCTCAACATCATCTTTTGTCCTTTMTGCCTTAAATTTTTTGGGGGATTTTTACTTTATGCTGTAGCTCATGAGAGTCTGGGTAAGGCCAAACCATTTATATGGTGTGTTGATTATTTACTTGATGGACAGTAATGGTTTCTGTGGTGCCATTACTATATCTCATCTAAATCCAAGTGCTGAGGTGCTGTAAAGGGCAGCCTTTCACTGGGGGCTGGAATCGCTTCTCCAGCATCGTTATCCTGCACCTCCGTAAATCTCCAGCCGACCACAGCCACTAAAGCTCTCAAAAGTTCCCCAGAAAATTTTCAACAAATAAGACTCTCACATGCTCTTTACCAATAAACTCCTGTCCCTCTGCCRTTAACCTCCCTCCACTCACTAGAGGAGAAAATCCTTTTTCACTACCTGAGRTGGTGTTGGAGAAGGTCAGTGGGAGCTGGGGATGTTTGGGGATGGGAGCTCTGTGCCTGTGGCTGCAGCTCTGGGGCTGCTCCAGAGCTGGGGGAACCCTTACAGGTGCCCTGGGAGCACCATGGGAAACAGCAATGCAGTTAGGAATTAATTAACACGGGTTCTTATTGCCTGCTCCTGGTGTTCTAGTACCCGGAGGGAACCTACAGGAAAGATGGAGTGAGACTTTACCAGAGCATGTAGTGATAGGACAAGGAGGAATGGCTTCAAACTGTCAGAGGGTAGGTTTAGATTAGATTAGGAAAAAACCCTTTCCTGTGAGCAGGGAGAGACCCTGGCACAGGGTGCCCAGAGAAGCTGTGGCTGCCCCTGGATCCCTGGAAGTGTCCAAGGCCAAGTTGGACAGATCTTGGAGCAGCCTGGGATAGTGGAAAGTGTCCCTGCCCATGGCAGAGAGTTGGATGAAGTGCTGCTCCCACTTTGCTGCATTAAAGTTTCAGCTTCTTTAATAACYTGCAGGTCCGCTGGAAAACGGTGACAAGTGGCATCAAGAAGCAACTCGGTAAGTTTATTTTGATAAAATACAATAATTATCGTGCTTAGCAGCTGTTGCTATTTAAAATAAGAAAAAACGGGCCTTGCATTGAAAATGTTTTGTAAACCATGTGCACCAACAATCTGTTCCAATGAAACCAGCCATTATGGAAACGGTATAATAGCAGGAGCTCATTATGGAAAGTTAAATTGCAAATCATATTTTGTTTCAAATGAGCTGGATGAATGCATAATTTGCCTCAAAGAAATAGTTTTGTAGTTCTGATCCTCCTGCCAAGAGCTGAAGCTCTTGGGCTGCAGCTGCCGGGGCGTCCTGATTGTCCATTTCAAACTGCAGGAAGTTTGGGTTTCAAAGGAAGACTTGAAGAGAGAAAAGGGAAAAAAAAAGGCAAGGAATAAAAGGCAGAGCAGTGGGAGCTCTCAGTTGGTTTCCTATGTGAGATTCTGGTGGTGCAGGGTGGGTTTAAAACAAACCAAGGGCCTGTGCAGGGCGGATCATGGATTCCTGTGCTAGAGCCAGACCCCACAGCATGGGCAGAGCTGCGGTGGCAGCCGTGGTGACAGCCGTGCCTGGAAAGGACAGCACGTGTGGTGCCACTCAGGCTGGTGGGGTGGCAGCTGGACACACCCTGCGTGGCATCGGGGGCCACGCCGAGCTCCCCCGTGGCACAGCACCCAGGGGACCCGTGCAGATATTCCCTGAGCTCTGCCGGCTCCGGCTGCAGCTGGGGTGTCACCAGAGTGACACGGGTGACAAATCCCCAGCCCTGTAGGACACGCAGCGGGACCATGGCTGTTGTGGCTGCAGCTCGGGTGGCCCAGTGCTCCTGTTTCATTAACACGTGGTGCCTCATGCACAGAGACCTGACCTACAAGCGGTGGCACGTGAGATGCCACATGAGCAGCTAATGGCATTTCCTGGTCGTGGGGCGACTCTGGGGACTGGCAGTGGTGGCACAGGGGACACGGAGCCACCATGCCACCGTGATGCAGCTGCTGGGATGCAATGGGCAGGCGGCCACACCCGGACCCTCTGCCTTGGGGACCGAGCCCAGAAACTGCCCGGAGCATCACTGCACCCGCTGGGTGGGACACACTGCCCACAAGTGACCCTGGCCCTTTTGGCAGGGTACGTGTCACAGCTGCTGCACTCCAAACACAGGGTCCCTGTGCCAGGGTCACCCCAGCTGTGGTGGCTCTGCAGCACAAAGGATCTGCCCCTCCCCTGCACCCCAGGTTGTCCCTGTGGCTCTCGGGGTCCCTGTGACTGCAGGCACTCTCGGGGT